GCGCCCCTTGCTTGCTTTATTCTACCCCACCGCAGATACTCTCGTGTGCCTGAAACTTCACGTGTCTTGGGGTTTGGAGAACGTGGTATCTGGAGTTGTGTTCTGTTCAGGGTGGTCTGTGGATTTTTGAAGCACAGAGGTGACCACAGCACCTCCATCCAGGTGCCTGGGGATTCCAACCAGGAACAAGCAGGCAAGGCTGGCATTGAAAGCCCCCAGCTGGCTGGCATGCAGCAGAATCACAACTCACAGCCTGAGGAACAGTGGCCACAGCTTCCTGTGTTCCGCAAGCCTCTCTGCCTCAGTAACAGCATGGTTTTGGACAAGGCGTGTTACCTCTTTGAGCCCCACTTTTCCCATCTATAAAATGGGGTGTAGGGCTTTAGTCAGAGGAGGCTGGGTTATTTTGTAGTACCAAACAGCTCCAAAAAGTCAGTCCAGAAAACACACAGGTTTCCGTCTCAGTCATATTCCCCATCCTCACTGTTGGCTGGGCTTCTACATCATCACCATCTTCACACCCAGACCCAGACCACAGAGAGGAAAGAGCCTGGCCAAGCACTCACACTGTCTCAAAGCTTACACCCAGGTAGGGCACACATCACTTCTCTCTTCACTGGCAAAGCACGTCCTACTGAAGCATCTCAGTGCAAGTGGGAGGGGAAGTACAGCCTTGCCAGCATCTGGAAAGAGCGTCATGGGTAGCCTTGGTGACTTTCACAGGGGGCACTTCTCAGAGTGGTGGTGAGGATTCCAGCAGAGGACATGTGCAGAGCTGTAGAGCCTGACATTTAGTTACCACTGGTGAGCAGTGATGCTGTGGTCATGGCCGTGGTAATGACGCTGAGCAGACAGGTCAAGCTTATCTAGGGGCCCCCGGTTTGATAATCCTTTGTCTTTGTGATCTTTTCCTCCAGTGCCTGTGTCATGAGGTTCTCGGGTTCCTGAGTTCTGAGTACTGTGCTTTGAACTGGGGATCAGAGGTAAGACTGACATGGTCTGTATCTTCAGATCTCTCATAGTCTCTCCTTGGCAGCAGGAAATGGAGGGATTTCCTTTGGGTGTTCATTGTCAGGGTTTGACCTTCGTAGAGAACTGTATAGAGTAAGATAAATGCCGGAGCTGCGAGGGGCCATTGTTTCTGTACTGGTTAGGATGCTTTCAGGGACAGAAGCACAGAACTGAAGCCAAAGCAGGTTCAGCAAAGCAAGGAATTTGTTTTGCTGGATAACTGAAAAGTTTAGCACTCGGTGAGCAGTGGCGCCAGACTGCTCCCCCACTCCAGTCATCATCAAGAGCAAAAATACAACTCTCTGTCCAACAGACAGTTGGGCTGTCCCCCAAATTCCCAACATTCTCTCCAATCAAACCAACTTAGTCATGGGCCAGTTTTGAACCACTCCCTAGGACCATATGGACAGGATGTGCTATTTGACCTAAGGGATTTAGTGCCTATCCTGGGGTCAAGGCATAGGGTTTTTTCCACATAGATCTCTTATCAGGTGATTCCCCTTGCCCCTCCCTTTCCTTGGGGGAAAAACAAGCTCAGAGAAGCTTAGTGACTTGCCTGCTGCTACTCAGCACGTGAGAAACAGAGCAGGAGCCGGCTGTGGGTCTGGGACTGTGCACTCCTGCTGCTTTGCCTTGGTTCCAGAAACATCTTCTCAAAAAGGTGCCCATTTCAAAGGGTTGGAGAAACCTCCCACGCTGGGAGACGTGAATATACAAGGGA